ACTTCACGACGTTTCGATTGTTAGTATCCACAATCGTCTTCGAGTGTTGGGTGGACTATTTCTCCGAGAGATGACTATTTATCTCTCAACGCTTCACCGGTTTAGTAGAAGATGGCCATTTTCCCACTTGATTAAAAGTGTTTCGTATATCTACGCTAGCTTGGCGTCGTTGGACAACATATATGCAGCTGCTTTCAACTCCCTCTGGAACCAGTGTTCCTCCAGTGCGATATCTATCATGAAGCGTATCAATTTTTCTCATTACCAAATCAACTATCATTCAGTAGTACACCACAGTGACTAGCAATGCCATAATAATCATTTCTCCTCATTTCGAAATGGATTGCCCCGATGAAATGACAACCGCCCTCAGCACTATCGCCGCCGCCTATCTGGCATATGATATACACACCGATTGCATATTCATGGTGTGTATAACGAGTGAATATGATCAGATACATGCATGCATCTTGAAATTACCGCAATACATAAATTCCAAATATCATCAGGATATGGAACCTGGATATGATGTATTTATGGAGGGCCGCAAGCGAGGTATACTCCGTTTCAACTTCGGGCCTCGTCGAACATCATCAGGCGGTTGTCGAAGTAATGTCGCCGATAGGTACAGTTGAAGCGAGTATTAAGTTTGAAACTGTTCTCAACTTTTATTGGAAGTGAGGCATGTATGCTTTTCATTATGTTGTTTTTTGATACTAATAATAGGTTTCCGATATGATTTCAAAGTTGAGTCGAATCATTATGAAGTTCTCAGAAAAAGCTTCGATTCTGATTGACCGTTCGCAGTGTAGGAAGGTTTTGACTACCTAAGTCTACATTTTTATACAATAAAAATGAAAAACTTCAAAAGGAAGCAGGAGAGAATGGAACCCTGTCATCCTCAGAGGTGGACTTTCAAATTTCGGAATAAAATATTTGTCTCATCGCCTCATCAGCATCAACCTGGGTAATATTACAGAATGGAGCACCGATTTCTTCCATAATATCATAATTTCATTTCATAGAAAAGAAAAATCTACTTAGTTTTTCTGGAGGAATCCCCTTTTGTGCTGATAAGAGACCAATTTGTTTCAGAAAAGTATTACTAAATCCATCCATGTCAAGGGATGTTGAATTTTTCAAGCTGGGAATTAATTCTAAGAGGTCATTTTCTGTTATTGGGGACATATAAAATGTGTTAGGACACAGAGGTACATTCTTATTTATGGAGTCCAAGTCATACCCTAAGTTAGCCACAGGTGCTTTGGTAAAGTTAAAATTAAATTCGTTGGCTTATACAATTTCATCGACTAACAATCGCTCTGCCAACGGCAAATCATTTCGATTGTTTTTTTTTTTTTGGTAATGCGTTGATAATTTCCCATGTCGTTTTTGTTTTATTTTCTACCTTCATTGTTTAGATGCCAAATGTGGAAGTGGATTATCTCTAAATATATCACTTCAATCATAGGTGAAAGTTGATTCATTTTTGTTATAACTGATTTTCGTGGCTGATAAATTCGTCAATATGCTTCATTTCGATTAATTGTGTATACACACTCTTATATTCCTCTTCTCATTTCCTTATTTCACTTTCAACTAAGAGAACAGGCCCCAAAATTGAACCTTGACGATCCAGATAACGTTTTCTGTTTTGCGAGCATACGGTTAATGAAACGGTTAGATTTCTTCTTTCGAAAATCGATGTAATTCAACTAAACGCTGTACATCTATTACAACAAAATTTCTTTTTCCATGGAAATGTTCCAAAATCGCGACATATTGAAATATTTGCTCTGAAATACAACCTAGTATATTGACGATAATCATCTTCTATCTTCTGTCCACCTAGAAACAACGGAACCGTTGTTACACCTTTGATCATTTTCTTGGGTAAAGGTATTATTTGGACAATGGGGGGAGACTTAAGCTTGTCGACCTAACGTTAGATAATTCCTTGACTAATGGGAAGTGAATGAAACAATAGCAACCCATGAAACTTAGCTTAATCGGATTACCGAATGTATATATACGGTCTGTGTCTTATGCGAGATGAGGAGGGGGGATCATTAGAGCAAAGTGGTGGCGACAAAACTGATAAAGGCAGTGCCAGCTCGTTATACNGCAATAAATACGCTACAATGAAAAGAGCAAGAAAATGAAAATTAAAAATAAAAATCAGAAATATTTGAAACCAAGTTACTTCACGACGTTTCGATTGTTAGTATCCTCAATCCACGACCGAGAGATGACTATTTATCTCTCAATGCTTCACCGGTTTAGTAGAAGATGACCGTTTTTCCGCTTGATTAAAAGTGTTGCGTGTATCTACGTTAGCTTGGCGTCGTTAGACAACATTTATGCAGCTGCTTTCAACTCCCTCTGGAACCAGTGTTCCTCCAGTGCGATATCTATCATGAAGCGTATCAATTTTTCTCGTTACCAAATTAACTATCATTCAGTAGTACACCACAGTGACTAGCAATGCCATAATAATCATTTCTCCTCATTTCAAAATGGATTGCCCCGATGAAATGACAACCGCCCTCAGCACTATCGCCGCCGCCTATCTGGCATATGATATACACACTGATTGCATATTCATGGTGTGTATAACGAGTGAATATGATCAGATACATGCATGCATCTTGAAATTACCGCAATACATAAATTCCAAATATCATCAGGATATGGAACCTGGATATGATGTATTTATGGAGGGCCGCAGGCGAGGCTCCGTTTCAACTTCGAGCCTCGTCGAACATCATCAGGCGGTTGTCGAAGTAATGTCTCTATCAGTCGCCGATAGGTACAGTTGAAGCGAGTATTAAGTTTGAAACTGTTCTCAACTTTTATTGGAAGTGAGGCATGTATGCCTTTCATTTTGTTGTTTTTTGATAGAAATAATAGGTTTCTGAGATGATTTCAAAGTTGAGTCGAATCATTATGAAGTTCTCAGCAAAAGCTTCGATTCTGATTGACCGTTTGCAGTAAAGACATGATTATTTATTGGTGTAGGAAGGTTTTGACTACCTTCCAAACTTTCAAAGGAAGAAGGAGAGAATGGAACCCTGTCATCCTCAGAGGTGGACTTTCAAGTTTCGGAATAAAATATTTGTCTCATCGCCTCATCAGCATCAATCTGGGTAATATTGCAGAATGGAGCACCGATTTCTTCCATAACATCATAAGTTCATGTCATAGAAAAGAAAAAACTACTTGTTTTACGATAATTATACGTAATGACGATAGCAATCGATAGCCATAGCAATATTTTCTAAAAATATACCCCTTTCCATTCAAAAATCATTGTTCATGTTGTTTAAACCATATGAATGATATCTATATAATCAATATATGTGGCTTTTTCTGTAAAAATCTCCATATATTAGTTAGTAAATCAGGAATGCCTTAGATATCAACGAAATAACTATGCTGTTGGTTCTGAACCACGTGAGAGACATCCTAAATATGTAAGTTATTCTACAACCGATCATTTATTTGTGGAATATATGTCTTTTAAAAAAAGTAAGGAAGAACTAGATTGTTTGTTTTGTTTGTAACAGAGAATATTCATCTGTTAGTGGCACTGATTGTTTTGGCCCTTGATGATAGAGAGATAGAGAAAGAAATTTTTTTCAAAACCCTCTCAAAACTAATGCCTGAGAACAGTTCATCCGACCTAATACCACAACAAATCACTTTTCTTTCGTTGAGGTATTCACCTGTAGTACTGCAAACAATAGCAGTCTCAGTCCGTCGGGAATTTCTGATATGTACCGCTCTTGGTAGAATCAAATGTGCCAAGTCACTTGAACACTCCCCGTGAAAGTATCTACAGAAGAGAGATAAATCTCCAACTTTTCTTCGATGCTCCAGATTATTAAGTTTGCAAATGATGTTCGCGTCTCCAATCGGGCGGATAGCTCTTTCTGGATGAAATCCAGCAGCTTCAGGTTGGAGGCAATATGGATCCCTGGGGAACACCGGCATCGATGGTAAAAGTATTCGAGAGTCATCCATCGAACGTCACTTGCAGGGAAAGTTTTTTATGAAGTTGGAGAGCCATACAAAGAAATGACCAGCAAACCCTCATATCACGGTCGAAGGCCTTATAATAGGGGAGCCCAAGCGGAGATTTCGGATTTACTGAAGCGCGGCAGATTGATATACAGGGGGATACCTTGTACCTCCACCAAATATGAGCCCCATATATAAGGCCGCCTGTGAGGGATAAAGGATCAGATTAGTAAAAAACAAATCATCATCAGAAATTCTCGAGCGCGTCAGATCAAGGTAGGGTGAGTTAATTACCTGCTAAAAAGTGTATATTTCAGTAATCTGACAATTTGACAATGACGTAAAGAAAGGGGAGGGCAGCAAAGTTGTAAAAAATAAAAAAATAACGTCATTTCGACATTCTCGAGCGTAGCTATTTTTTTTATTTTGAAGGAAATAATTCAAGGATAACGAAAAATATATAATCTGACAATTTCCGACAAGCCGAAATAACAAAAATTCGTCGATAAAGTTCAATGCGTGCAGCTGTGTGATACCTACTCTTCCTTCTCCAAGTTTCTATTCCTCTATTCTCTAGTCACTTTTTCTCTATCTAATACTCTCTCACTCCGTTGCCACTCTGAATTCTGTTGCCATAGCACCATCACAACTGATCACAGAGACTCGTTCGTGATGAAGATGATGATTAATTATTCAATTAATTGATGGATGTAGCCGTTACTACGTGGCAGGAAATCATAATGAAGAAAAGAAAAGTCAAACTTTCTATGTTTTTTAAGACTTTTATTTGTAACTAACGTTATTGCAGTTTCGTCCTATTAGGAAATTTTCAATTTTATACTCATTACACATAACTGATTCTAATCAAATCCTCAGGCCTCTCCAAGCCCTACTTGAAGTCCAAATGGAGCGAGTCCGCTTCATGCCGCGAATCGCTCCGTCCCTTCCGGTAGACCCGGACTCCCCGGATCCAGCATACGCGATGGAGCACGCCAGCGAGAACTTCATAGTGTGCGAAGTGCTGTTGGGTACAACTACTACAGAAAGTTACAGTGACTTCAGCGCGAACGACATCCAGTACGGCTTCGAGGAAGACCAGCGCAACAGAGTGCTGAGGACGTACATCCGAAACGCGTATGTGTACCACTTGAACGAGATTTTTTCGGCGGTGCGGAACGAGTATACTGACTGGGATAAACCGATCCAGCATCCGATTAATATAAGAGACTCCACCATGGAGGCTTTGAGTGACGGGCATACGGTGTCGCCGTTGGTGCGGGTGGCGTATCTACACGCGAGGAGGGGGGCCAAGACGTACTTCTTCCACTTTGGGTACCAGACGAAGGACAGCGATTATCCGCAGGTGAGGTTCTTGCTGAAGATATTATAATATTATGTTTATTGTCAACAGGTTTACACTCACAAATGAAGAAAATACAAATGATTAGAGAGTTAAATGAAGATTCAGATGTCAGATATCAATAGTATTTGGTGTTTGACTACGTTGATAATATAGATAACATTTTCCTCGGCAGCAGTTTCCTTACTAATAACGTTATCGTATACCATATATCTATGCTTTTCATAGTGGGAAATAATTTGCGACGAATCTTCCAAGTCAAAGACGTTGCACAGGTGACTGAGAGTTTCACTTCAACTCTCTGCGCGGCATTAGCTGGGTGGGTTGTTTGTTTTTCCGTTGGGTATCTGTCACAAGTCATACAAAGTCATAGGTCACCCTGTACATGTATTGAAATCCACAGACTTGACAGGAAACAAATACGAAAGAATGGAAAATTCAAATTTAATGATTTGTGACCAAATTTCATTAATTTCCAAAACACAGACAACCGATATAGGTTGTAAATAAATGTCGGATGAAAGCAAAATGATACCTGTTATGTAAAATTTGAAAAGAAATAATAAACTTATTGTAAATATTTAGGAATGGTGAAAATTCGAATATTATTGTTGTAAACCATTTCTGCGGATATCAAGTGATGCTTTTGAAGAATTTTGATATTTAGACATAAATGAGGTTAACAATTTCTGTACATAATAGTTAAGTGAAGATGTATTCAAATTTAGGAACAAATATGAAAATCATAGAATAGATAGTTTTTGTGATATTGAAGTTGAAAATTTGTAGTTATGAAAATTGAGATATTGTTCAACAATCAATAAGCCACCAAATTTTTTGTTTTTCAATAACCACCCAGTTTTCCTCGCAAAATGTATTCACACATTGTTTTATGTCTTTCAATGATCCAATTTTTTCTCAACAGCGACTGGGCAGCGTTCGCGGAGAAGACCTCACCTACATCTTGGGCCTCCCCCTCGTCGGCGGTCTGCCATTCTTCCCTCAGAACTTCACTCGTCAAGACGCTGGAGTGGCAGAAGCGATGCTCAACTTCGTCAGCAACTTCGCCAAGAGCGGCGATCCCAACGCACCTGGAGTCGTCCACAAAGACGCACCCGATTACGGCACTCCCCGGGAGAAGACCCGATACAGGGGGCTCACTTGGGAGCCGTATGAGATCGGAACGCAGTACTATCTGAGCATTAGTAAGTTTTTTGGTTGGTTTCATCTGTTATGATTGGCATGCTCGAGAATGTTTTCAGGAATATAGTGAATTGACAATTTGAAACGGAATGATAGAGGCGGCAGGTGGGTATTTTTTTCTGCTACTTCGGAGCCGTCCAACTTGACCATTTCCTCAACGCCTTTGGGGCTACTTTGGAAAAATTATAGTTGAATGCCTACTACCTCACTCACTTTCTCAATCTGAATTATCCCACCCGTACATCTTTCATAATTTCAAGATGCAAAAAAGAAGCTTTCGGAAATAACATGTTAATACAGCTGTTGGTGTGGTTTTCATTGCTCCTGTCATTCTTAAACAAGTAAGTCATTGCCTCCATGTGTTTCCGTAGATACGTGACTTCTCCTAAATATTTGTTTCAAGTCAGCCTGGTAACTAATATCACCTCCAGATATTTGACTTTCCCCGACACATCCCTCTTCATTTCTACCTTGGTCCTGTTAGTGATTTCAGAGCCTACTGCATGTATCGGTAGGCTCTGCGATACATGCAGTAGCGATACTGCATGTTTTGCTTCCCCAAATAGTTATATTTTCCTTTCACTCACATGACTGCTATGACTTCATAGTCCACTTTGGTCTGAAAGACAACATTATATATAGTTGACTCAGGAATAGTCAATAAAAGTTACATCAAAAGGTTCCAAAATAGTGGTGAGAAACCTATTTTTTCAAAGGACAGCTCTTTGCCAAACGTGCTACCATGATTTTAGCCACAATGAATTAAAGAGTAGTTTCCAAGCATGTAGTTTATTCACATGCAGATCAGTTTTTGGGAAGGAAGTTTTTTCATCATTATACAAAACAGTATGGAAAACCACCGAAGAAAGGGAAGGGGCAGTTAACTTTATAAAAAATCCATTATGAAGAAGTGGAGATCATACACAGAAGATTTATTCAGATACAAAATGGAAGAATAATGTCTACCAACAACTACTAGCAAATATTACATGGAAATCTTATTTTTTTCAGTCAGTTAAGCTGCACAATATTATATATGAAGATTATTATTAGAATATCACTTACCTGGCAACCAATTAAGTTCTCAGTATGCTGTATTGCTATAAAGATGTTACTCGCATGAAAATCTAAGATTCAAGTTCTCGATCAACTTCAAAAATTTCGGCAACACCATTTCGAATGACTTTATAAGAAATTTGTAGAAGTTATTCACTTTCCTCCTCTCTAAGGAAGTTTCCTATATTTTTATGTATAACAATGAAAAAAAAAGAATGCCACGAAGCTTTTTTCCATAATAATTCTCGTTTTTACCGTAGATTGCTGAGGATAGTTATGAGATGACTGCTGCCTAGGACTTCCTGAATAATTTTTCAGCTGTTAGTACATTATCTACAACATAATTATCTTTTTTTTTCAATAAAATCGTCTAACATATGGTTTTTTTCAGTTTATTTCATCACTAGATTCCGGAGAATGAAGCTCCAGTTGTTTGCAGTGAAGGATCAAATTTATTCACCTATTTCAGACCTACCCACATGCATCAAGAATAATTTTGATTCTTCGACCTCATTACCTTCATTCACATCGCAATCATATAATAACCTTTTTTAGCGGATAGTTTTTCCAAAAATGCAGTGATTTCTTAACGGACGATAAAATTTCTCCATATATGCTCGATAAATCGACCTTCATGAAATTTATGAGGCTGTCCTTCATGACACCGTGTTTGCTTTCTTTCAGCAACATTCCAGCCTTCCCAGGGACTCTTCATCATCCGTCTTCAACTTGTATTCGTTCATCTCATTTAGGAATCACGTCACGTGATTCCTGTTCTGGAGAAAAGTCGTTGGCAGGTGCTGGGAAGCAGCGTTTTCCTTTTTATTTTCGCTTCTGTTTCTGATGGAAATCTCGTGATCATACATTTGTTGGAGTATGATGAGAATAATCATCTGAACTGGCGTGGAATAAAAAAAACGTGGGCATTTTTTGTATTGACCAGGTATTTAGACGTAATAGTCGTCTTTTGAAAGCCACAATGAACAATCAATAGTTGAATTACTCATTAGACATTTTAAAACGCAGTGTCTGAAAAGTTCCCCAAACTTTGAAAGACCCGATGAAGTCATTCATGAATATAATTGCAGAAACTCGAGAAACTCATTGGTAGTTCGAATATTTATGCTCAATACAATAAAATCAAATGAACTCAGCGACCTATACAACTCCTCTCATAAGTTGCTTTCATCGGGAAGAAGTTTGGAGTTATTTGTTAGGAGTATCGTCGAGGTTTTGGAGTTTTCGCATTCATAGAAGCTACGTAAGAAAATATGCAGCTAAGTTGACTTCGGGTTGAGAATAACACGCCTGTTTTCAACCACACGTTTATAATGAAGTTTTGTTTCTCCAGTGGTGTACAGGGTAATTCATAATAGTCTCATTATTTTCTGAGTTCGAAATGAATAAGAACTTGGAACTGAGAAGAGCTTTGAAGAAGGAAGGCAATTACCATTCGCATTATGGCTGGTCAGTCGTACATTTGAGAAACTGGAAAGCTCAGCAAGGAGGGAAATTATCTATGATATTGAACAAAAGTCAAATATTGTAAAGGATCTTCCTTAGAGAGGTTCATTATTTCGTTCACAATTTCAAGAAGGAAGCAATCAAGTTCCTGGGTGGATCTAAAAGTATCAATACTGATCAATTGAACACGATAATATCAAAGACAACATTATTTTTCGTTTGGTATAAAAATAGTATTTGTTAATGGTGTTTGAAAACTAAAGTGAATTTCTATAAAGTTACTCTTCCCAGTATCTTGTGCTTGTCTGTTTTTGAGAAAGGAATGAGTTGTTTGTACCAAATCAATGTAAGCATTATATTGATTTAAGACAGAGAAACAATGTTTTTGTACCGTCTGCGAAAACCAAATTATTTTTCGAATCACCCTTTCAGATGGTCCCACGACATTTGCTGCCGGATATTATGGAAGAATCCAAAACCATATATATCTTCTGAAGGAATCTCAAGGATTTAATTCTTGATGAATGTTATTATCGTTTTGAAGAATGTATTTGTATAAGGAAGTAGTTGTCATAATCTTTTTTCAGGAACTGCTAGTCTCCGATCCTTCTTCTTGACGATTCCAGTACAAATTTCATAACTTTGTCAAAAAGAAAAATAAGAGATTCATTATTATCATTATTTCAACGGGGACCTCCTTAAGAATTTCTAGACCCGTTTTCCATGGAATTTTCGCTCTTTCTGAATATTAATTAACCGTATCAACAGTCGTCAGTTGCCCCGGAATTGCTTTCACTTTATTTTTCATTTCTTTTGAAGGTACATTATTGTGAAGTCAGAGAGAAGCAGAAGGCAAATATTAATAAGTCGGGCGCTTTTCACATCTCCTGTTGTGTACTTTCATCATTTGTTATCAAAATTCAATGGATGGAGGTGTCTCTGTAGAATGAGATGAAGATTTTGCATTTCGTTTCATCTAGAAATGAGTAAATAAATGCAAGCGCAACCATTTCTTCGGTAAATTCGCATTTATTCTAATGGAAGATCAAAATAAGTCTGAAAGTCTTATATACGCGTGAAAAGTAATACTCATAAAATAGTGTAGGATGCAGCTTTTTCTATCATTCTTAAAGAGTCTTGATTTTTTATCCTCACTTTTGAGTATGATTTTTTATACTGCTTAATTTCTCATCAGTTATTTGAATGGCCCCAGTGAAAAGGGAAACTACAATATCATTTCAATTTCACAAACTAATTCTAAACGATTTGATCTCCACAAACTTTGTGGGAGAAGTGCATGAAGCTGCAAGGATATTATGTTGGAAAATAAATACTTTTTTTCAAAAACATTTGATAATAATGATAATAAATCGGCTTTATTGATAATACAAAAAAACAATACATGAAAATGAAAATAAGTCTAGCTCAAAGCTACACTAACTCAACCAAAAAGCACCACTCCATAATGCACGCGAACATACAGAAATAAAAGACAATTGACAGTGACATTACCACGAAATAAAACACATCAATAAAAATAATAATTTGGGATTACCCTCTGAAGAGAGTTGATAAATAATTAAATTTAATTGATCTGTTGTTTATTAATTTTTCCAGTGAGCAAAAGTTGACATTATTGACTTTCATAGATATAATGTTTATATTTGTATTAGAATTTTTTGATTTTGAATCTCTTCAATTGCTCGGGCAATAAATTATAATAGAGTTTTACAGCATTAAAAAAATTATCTCTAACACTGTGCAGTGCGATGTTGTGGCATAGTTAATTTGTTTTTATGTCTAATGTTTCTTGAGTGAATATTTTCACGTAGAATTAGTTTTTGTATTAGAAGGGTAGAATGGGAAAGGGTAATCAATTTATAAACAAAACAACCCAAATGATGATAATACGGTTTTTCATATTGAGGCAGCGGGAGTTTTCAAAGGCTTCAGAAATTGAATCATACTTACGAAGTCCAGAGCATTCTTTTTAGAAGTTGGCTCAATATAAAAAGATTACAGTATGACAGTTTCAATGACATACAAGCTTTTTCCATTAAATGTTCAACATGACTAGTGAATCTAAGATCAGTGTCAAGCATCACCCCTAAGTTTTTAGCTGTATTGACAGGAGTCAAGATAGTATGACCTAGTTCTAGATGAAATTATTTTCTGCAAATTTACAATTCTTCTGCGATAATAAAATGCATTATCTTTGTTTTATTAGGATTACCTTTCAAATTATGTTCACTTGATAGCCCATTGATCAAATCAAGATCAGTGTTGAAGAGATTTTGTGCCACAGCATAATCATCGATTTTAAAGTGCATATATAATTGTATGTCATCAGCATACGCGTGTATTTTACATTTCTTGATGGACGAGATAATGTCAGTTGTATAAATGATGAACAGTAAAGGTCCCAAAATGGAACCCTGTGTTTTCTTTGTTGGCCCGGGTACTTCTGATACCAAAATTCATA